ATTTGGACAGCAGCTCACACGTGTTGAATAAAGGTGAATATAATCGTAAAAATGTTGTTTTGACCATGAATCGCCTGTACTTCCAGCGAAGCTTAGGAGCTAATCATGACTTAACTCATTGTATTACAAGGAGCCAACGCACGTTCTCAGTACTGCTATAATGTGATGACTCCTTACCAAATCTCCAACTACACCCAAGTCCACCCACACCCTCTCAACATCCGACTCTCACTAGCAAAGAAACCATTAACAGTAATGAGAATCAATGAGGGTGTTAAAAGTATTGGCAGGCTACCCTAGGAGCTGCTCTCTGTGCCATCTTTATTAGTCTGAAAAGAGACCCAGCCTCTAGCCTGCCAGCTCTAAATAGGAGCGCATTGATCAGAAGGTCAGGCCAGGCTGAATCCAACCCTTTAATTGTCTGCGCCACTCCTCATTCTCATTCCAACAGCTGTCAGTCGACTCGCAGGTAAACCAAGGCCAGCATCACACGTGGTAGTTCTCACAGAAGTCGGCCTTTAAGGCTCAGACAGCATGTACGCCATAGGTAACAGGAAGAAGAAATGAAAAGTTATTTCTCGTGACATATTCATCTTAATCAGTTGAGAGAAGAGAAAACCACCACTGATCCCACAACACACACAAACATACGCAGTATTACACTGACTCTCAGCAGATGAAAGCTACCTTTTAATTCACTTACTTAATGCATTTCTCAAATTCAGCTCAAGAAAGGCTTCCCATCACACTGTACTTTCCTTTAACACCTTTTTACAAGACATATTATGTTCTTCTTCAAGTGATATAATCTCCTTTACAGACACAGTAACATTAAACCACTTTGTAAGACTGCTATGCCAGGCCCCCACCTCTACATAAACCACACTACAAGTTGCAAATATAGCTTACAACAGGCTTATAAGGTCATAACCTCCGAGGGATGACGATCTAGTATTAAAGAATCTATGCTATATTCTTTGAATTAACTGTTAGCTAGTTAAAGGAACAATGGACACATCTTCCAAAATACTAAACAAATACAAGCATCCGGTCAGTGCTGAAAAAGAGATTCTGTGTCTCTCTATGCATTTGCATATTTGTGAAGCAGATAAATTCACTTCCTCATTAAGTTTAATTACCGTTTTAAAATATGGATATGGACTCATCAGCTCCTCCCTGCTAACCTCTATTTATATATTTTTAGATTAAATATATATACAAGTCTGACTCAGAAAATTCCTTCTAAGTTTGAAATATATTTTCATATATTTATAAGATGGATAAAGAAAACATGACCACAAACTATCTCCCAAGAAAAAGTTAAAACTCTAACATTAGAAAGTTTATATATCAGATTGTAGCACTTGCTCCGACTGAAAAAAAAGATCCTTTTGCACCTTAATCCAGATGTCTGGCTGCTTCAGACAGCGCTTTGTCAGAATTGTTTCCTGGCTTTAGAGATGGAGTCATTTCAGATGTCTTGGCGACTAATCAGATGCCATCATTCATCAAAAAGTTGCAGTGACAGGGCCGAGCCTGTCTTTACAAAACCTAGCAGGGTAAGATTGCATTGCAGTTGTACAGTGATTTGAAGCTCCAGTGTGTGTCGAATATGTCTGGCTGTCAGCCTCCTACATATATTTTATTACAGGATGGTAGCAGAGGTAAATAAATAGGTTTATTTAATATGTTGCACTCCATAAATCCCACAAAAAAGCTCAGATAAAACTGAAAAAATTAAGACAAAACCAAGAACACAGGCAAGGCAAGGGCTTGGAAATCGAATTTTCATAGCGTGAAATATGTAGATGTCATTCATACTGCACGGCAGCCCGGATAAAGTATGCAATGATGTTGTGACCACTTTTTTGCTATAATCAAAGTCCTCACAGCTCATCACTACAACTAAAAATTTAGTGCAATCAGTAAGATTATTGCCTATCATCAGCAGTGGCTGATTAA